AAAAAAATAATTGGTTCGTGATTTAAAAGGCTCGTTATACCGATAATTAAAGTATATTAAATTGAAACGAACCTGGAAGGCAAATGGCCAATGTACCAAATAAAGATCCAGATAACTTAATCCAAGATTTTCCAAAGATTTCTTACACGTTGGAACTACACTCGACTGTTTGTGGAAATTATTCCAAAGCTACAAGAAAAGTTTTCATTTTTAATGAAATATAAAATGAGAAAATTTTGTATAAAATTTGGTTACCTTAGTTGTAATGAAGAGATCTTCTCTTTTCACAGTTCCATCCTTGATCTTTGCTTGAACTGCTTGACCAATCTCTTTCTCATTTTGATAAAAAAACGCAGTGTCTATGTGGCGATATCCTAAGTTTATTGCCTCCATTACAGCTGCTTCTACTTCTCCAGGGCGGGACTGGGAAAATACAAAATATGTTTAAAATACATAAAAAGTAATAATCTAATTTAATTGATGTTGTTTTTGAATTTTTATATTTTATTTTATACTAGACCTAAAATAATTAAATTTCGGATATTTATGTAAATTCATATTTTTGTTAATATAAAAGAGTGGAATTTAACTAGAGATTTATTACAATTCGTAAACGTTATAATGAATTTACTGTATTTTACTGTAAATATTTTATATATTTTTGTATACATTATATTCATAAATATGTTAGAACATTTCCTATCATAACTTTTTCAAATTAAAGAATTTTTTAACGAAAAAAAAAAATAGTTATATTTAAAATCCAGAGGATGTAGCAAAATTAAGTTTCAATTTAAATAAACCGCGCAACGTAGTCACGTGATACTCTTAAAAGAATTTGTTTTTCACACACACATATGTATATAACGTATGATTTGTAACATTTCAATTATTGCTTGTTATCTTACCTGATAGGTACCAAGACCAAAAATTGGCATTTTATATCCATTGGAAAATGTAAAAGAAGGTATTTTAATCATGATTGATGTTAGGTCTTAAACAAATCGTTGGAAGAACAGATATAGCGTCAATAAATTCGAATTAGAGGTTCCCTCTGTAACAAGTATGTAAATCTGACGATATTCTAGAAACTAACTGATTAAAGTATATCGTAGTGCCTTCTATTCATACTGTATTCCTAACAGTTAATCATTATATAACGATAGTGATGATGCGAACAATTCTAAATAGCTAAAATTAGATGTGCTGTATTGCACAACACCAACGCAAACGTGATATATGTTATCAATAACGTGAGTTCTTGTTTTTTATAAACAGAAAGCAAATATTTAAGTTTGCAATATTAATAAAAATATCAAATAATAAGCTTGATTATTTAATGCGCGTTATATTCAATAGAAATAACAAACGCGAATTACATTCTGCTTCTTAAATGATTTTTTATATAATTGGTTTATTAAAAATCAAATTACAAATATGGACGAAGGTCATATAGAATATTACAAAAATATTTAACAAAATAGTACAATTGATTAAAATAATTTTCTTTTAGAATTCTATATTGAATGGATAATCCTTGTGTCCCTTGAACCTAAACACATAATATCGATAATTAAATGCAATAAAATATAGATAATTAAAATGGAAAAATAAGAAAAAAGAAATATGCATGTTCATTTGTTATGTTCATGTATTACTTACTGTTCAGCAGGGCAAATACGAATTCCACAGTCAAGAGAGTTGATAGTTGCAATTTCTTCTGGTGTTAATTTAAAATCAAAGATGTTTATATTTTGTTTTATGCGTTCCTTAGAACTGGATTTTGGAATGGGAATGGTACCAATATCAATCTGTGATAATATAGCAGTCATTCTAAGTAAATATTTAAGATAAACGGATGAATGTATATATGTAATTATAAGATAGATTACCAAGTATCGCAAAACAATTTGCGCTGGTGTTTTGCCGTATTTTTGGCTAATTGCCACGATTTCTGGTGCCTCAATTGTAACTTGTGGATCAGTAGATTTCGCCCAAATACGTTTAGGAGAACCAAATGGACTGTAAGCAGTGATAGATATACCACGTTGCGCACAGAAATCTCGCAACTTTTTTTGATTTAAATTTGGATGGCATTCCACTTGATTCATAACAGGTTTGATTTCAGCGACTGATAAAACACGATCGATCTGCTGGGAGTTGAAATTGCTAAGACCTATACTTTTTGTTAATCCCAGCTTTACGCATTCTTCCATTCCTCGCCATGTGTCGAGAAAATCGATATTTCCATACATGGGATTACCTTTTTCATCAACTGGCCATAGATCCATTTTGTCAGTGTTCTAAGATAATACAATAACAATTTACTTTAGTTATTTGTTTCAAGACTATTATATCGATATTAACCTGTGAACCAAGGAAAACGAGCTACCTCGTTATTCAAGTCATAATGTTCCTTCTTTTTACATATCTCATCTTTTTTGCGTTTTACAACTAAAACTATTATACTATTATATTTATATTGCAATTATAATTATGCCATATTTTAAAATAAAAATTGTTGTAATTGAAATTAATTGATCTTAATTTCATAATTGCGAAATGTTCTGATTGAAGAACAACTTGGTTGACAGGTGTAGATCAAATGTGTAATAATGTCTATCTTATCGATCTTACATTATAAGCTATGGGCCAGTGAACAAGATAAAGATCAATATAATCAAATCCGAAATTTTCAAGTGACTTTTTGCATGCTGGTACTACTTGTTCTCTCTTGTGCATTGTATTCCATAACTGAAAATATAAAAATGTTGAAAATGTTTATAGATAAGAATTTTGTTTTTTGATAGGTGTAATACCTTTGTCGTGATAAATAAATCCTCTCTTTTTACCACACCCTCAGCAATCTTATCGCGCAAAGCTTTACCGATTTCTTTTTCATTGAGATAGATATAAGCACAATCAAAATGCCTATATCCGGCATCCACCGCATCTCGTACAGCTTGTTCGACTACATTTGGATCGTCCTTAAAAAATTTACACGAATATTTATAAAGTGCGTAAACAAGAAATTATATTTTAAATGAACTTAATAAATATTTATGTATGTATCTACATGCATACAATAATAAGTTTTTTAATCAGATTCTTCACTTTATAATCCGAAAGATAGTACCTAACATTTAACATTGACATCTAATATCGTTAACTAATAATTGATGCAATTGATGTCTAATATCGTTAACTGATAATTGTATAAAGCCCTGTCAGATATAAATTTAATTATTACACTTTTTTGCGCAGTTGCGTCACGCCTTGTCATACAGGTGAACATAACTTCGCGAAAAATCTTGTTACAGTTAATAAAAAAGATAATGAAATTTGCGTATCACTTTTCATGATAATATATATATAGATTGGATATATCATGATAGAATTTCCAAAATTGTTAAAATTTTCAAAAATTAAATGAAATTTTATTTAGTTATATTTTTAACTATAAATCGGAAATTTTTATTAAATTTTAATTTGGTGGAGATTTAAATATTTTTATGAGATGGGAGATTTTTCTTTTTGAAAGAATTACTTAATAATTTATTGAATAAATATCAAAAGTTTTGTTAATAAAATAATTAAATAAATAAGAGAAAGTCATAAACAAAATAAAATAAAAATATTAAAATTGATCAACTCAGTCACTGAATCTAAATTCGATTAAACATTTACAAGAGAAATAAAACATTGTGCAAACAAATCAAAGCATTTATAGAAGATAGCATTATTTTGACAAGAAAAAGATATGAAATTATGCCGTCATTTTGAGATTAACAAAATCCATAGTACATTATCATGCTGCTACTACAAGTACAGAAAACATAGCTCTAAAATAGTGATAACAATTTTTCATGTCACAATAGAGAATTTTCAAACATGCCAATTATGCTGTTTTTTCTTGTTTGCAATATTCTTATATTTAATGTTAATAGTTAAAAGTCTATTAAATATCTTTTGGAATATAGTGAAAAATCTGTCAATATTTCTGTATCTATAAAATCTACATTTTGTATACCATATATTATTTTTAAACAAAATACTTACTCCAGCTTGCCAAGTACCAAGCCCTAGGATGGGAATTTTTTGTCCATTACTTAAGGTATGCGTAGGTGCAGTCATCTTATTGCTTGAACGCACAACATCAATCTAAAAAATCATACCAGGCACACATAGATCGCTTATAAATGAGAGAATTCCCCTTCCACTTAACAGTCTTCATACTATACTATATGTTAGCTTCATGATATCAAACAATTACTGTTTACGATTATATAATTATCTCTGCAAACATAAAATATTTGTAATAAATTTCTTTATGAGTTTGTGTGTTTGAACGCATGCATATATTTTTTATATTATATTATATTAATATTAGTTGAAATATATCTACAATAATGCATAATTATAATTATAATCCGTTTAACAAGTCGAGTCAGCAGTGATAAACAGATGGACTTGAATGAAGCAGCTCATGTTTTTAATATAAATATAAAGGAGTCAATTTTATATAATTTTTCCTAAAAATTTGCTAACCAATAGCTTAGGCACTTTTATCATCTCTTTACTAATGCTCAAGCAAATTGTGCAAAAAAGCACAATGAAATTTATATCAGTGCTTTACTACGTAATTACGTTAAAACAAACCTGTGAACGAATAAATTAAAATTTTTTACATAGAGTTCCAAATAAAGAATTTGCAAAATCATAACAACATAATATGTAATGTATACAGCTGTCTTTGACTGACAATGAGAAACAAGTGAATCACTATGATAGCGTTCAAGGTGATATACGCGAAAAACAATGGCGTTTAATAGTTGAGGTTTAATGCTGACTAGATTTGAACGGAGGTATAATCTAAAATATAGATCGTTCGTTAATATAAACATCTTTCAAGTATTCATGTCTTTCAATATTAATGTCTGAAATTCATATAGAACATATGCAAACTTAAATTTTCTGTGCCTTGCTCGTAGATTTTTTAAAAATATATGTTAATGCATGTAAGTATATTTATTTACCTGAAATTCTATCGAGAGGTATTAGAATTTCAGGCAATTAAAATGCAATGCTTTATTGATGGTCTTGTTTAAATAATTGATTGTTTAGATAAGTTTTTTCTCATTTTTAGAATTAAATATATCAGTCTAAATTAAAGATATACAAGAATATAACAACGTCCCACAAATAATTGTCCTTATTAATATTATTTTGCAAAATATAATTAACAATATTCTTTTCCTTCATCAATTTGTTTTGTTAATGGTTTCTTTTTCTTTATTATTTTATATGTATTAAGAAATATTTTATATAAATTTTCGGCAGTGTTTTGGATTAAAATTTTTCCAATTTTTATTCATTTTCTAAGGTTTTAAGTCCAATGTACACGGATTTATTTTTCAATGATTTAATTTTTTGTGCTTTTTACTTTTTTAATTTCTTCATTTGCAAAAACTATTGCGATTCTTTTTTTTCAGTGTAGATCTTCTTTTTTTATAGTATAAAGATTTTCTATGTCGTCATATTAGTTGTATTATCATATAAATGTTTCTTTTTTGCTTATATTAAAACAAATTTGTTTTTATATAATTTAAGTCTATGTCGTAGAATTTCAATTTTATTCATCAAGCACTGAGATAATCTATCAATTTCAGCATTTTTGTCATTGCTGTGAATATTATATTTTATAAAATAAGCTAAAAGTAGCTTAATTTTGTTTTTTGTTTTGAAACGACATAAAATTTCAAATGAATATGTTCATATTTACAATATTAGATGAAAAACGATATAGAATTTCAAATTATTAATATATTCATATTTACAATTTTACAATTTTAAAAGTATTACATGTATTTAAAATATATTACATGTACATTTTATAAATGAAAAAATTTAATGACTGACGAGATTCGTTTATATACATTTTCATTTTTTGACATAAAGAAATGGTATAAGAATATAAATCTATTTTATAAAGATTTTATTTCCTCAGTGTCGTTTGTTATATGTGCTTTCTCTTTTCTGGAATTTTTATTTTGGTTTCTTATTTTTTTTGAATTTTCTACACCATTTTCTAGGTCTATCCTTGTTCTTGCACGCGTGCCAGGACCCCAATTAACTGTAGGATTTTGTTGAAATCGCGTTAGCTTGTGCAGTCTGGATATTGGATTTGCCAGTGGATGTATATCGAATGAAATATTTGTTGTCGTTGGTGCATTTAATATTTTTATAGCGGGACTGTCCTTTGATAATTTATCCCTTTTCACGGAATTATTTTTTTCCCATGCGCGCACAATATCCCATATAACTTCATTTGGAGCATCTGTTTTTATAGATGTTTTGCAAGCATGTGAATACGATACACGATAGCCTGCGTTTAACAACGCAGAGCGGAATATTAACATCGATGGTGTAACACATCTGACAATCGACATTAAACGATCAAGAGTGTAATATAATGGAACATTTAATTCTTCATGAATAACATTTAAAACTCCAACCATCCTTTTAAATGTTCCCAATTTTATATTGTCTAAATTACATAAAAGACTATTTACAAAATATTCGTCATGTAAAGGACCTAACCATATTGGTCCTCCTTCGTGTTGTTTATGCTGACAGATTTTACAAAGTTGATCCACATAAGGCGAAGATGTTAATTTGTAGCCTCCAGTGGGCTTTTTATAACATAACGGTTGCGTATTAATACTCTCACAACCCGTACATTGGTACACCATTCCAATTTTAGTTGCATTCTCTTTGCATTTAATGTGACTAGAAAATATTTTAACAAATACTCTTATATAAAAATCAACACTTATAGAAAGTAATGGTATTATGTATCTGCCGTAACGCCCTGCATGTGAAGCAATACTTTGTAATAATATTCTTAGTGCCATTTCATGGCAAGCTTTAGATCTTAAGGAAATAGCTCCATATTTGAGAAAACAAGTTTCAGGGCTATTACCGGCTAGTACTGCCATATCTGTAGCTGTAATCATAAGTAATCCACCATCTGATACACATTGCACTGCTCCATCCAAAAATATGGTAGGACAACCATATGGGTCTAAATCTATCACATCGAACTTGTTCTTTCTATTTTGATACATGAGTAAAGTTGCATCTTCATGACTTGGTTTTATAAGATTTTCAACTCCATTATGTTGTATATTTTTTTTTATGCTTTCTACTGCCTTTGCACAGATGTCATTGGCTGTAATTTGCTTTATGCCTTTTACTTCTTTGGCATATCGAATGCTACGTAAACCAGTGGCAGACAAAGCTTCTAATACGGTGATTCCATCTTCTTTTCTTGTATTTCTCTCTGTTTTTTGTTCCTGTATGTCTTTTATAAAAGCTGTTAAGGCAGCTACACCAAGGTCCCTATTAAATTCTTGAACAGGATTGTAAAATACATTTGCATTGTCAACTAAAATTTCTGCTTCCCCTTCTTTTATACTTGTATCTAATTTTGGTTTTTTAAAGCATTGTTCCATGTTATGATTCTTAAATCTAAAAAATATTCAATTAAGCATTTCATATAAATGAAATAGATACATAAGTAAAAATATTAGAACAATGATATAATAATTTCTAATAACATAATGATATAATAATTTCTATTTTACATATTAACATGATAGATTTTATTTATGAAACTATCTTTGTTAATAACATAGTTGTACTTTTGCAATAACAAACTTTTGTTAAGTACCATAGCTTTATAAGTAGGTAATAGATATCTATCACTCAATGGTGATTTTTGTCACACACTTTGAGAGTTCTAAAGCACTTTTACTGCGTTCTTATCAGCAAATGTAAGTCAGGATTTTAATTAAACAGGTACAAAAATTACCAAAAATTACAAATTAACTATATTAGTTAGGTCTTTTTGTAATTGAAAATTTATTCGTATCACAGATACTAAAACATTGTCACCGCGTAGCGGCGAGACGATGGAACTAATTGCCTTATTCTCTTTGTCACATACTGTCATCTTTGTCTATACTGCCATCAATACGTATGTAGGCAAGGAGTGCTTAAAAACGTGTGCTTAAGAATGAGTTATATGTTGCCATCTGTCGGATTTAATTTGGACTTTCCATTTAAATTATTTCCAATAGATGACAATACTCATCTATGTTGCGTAGCGACATCTATTCAATCTTGTACAAAGTTCAGTCTTCTAAAAAATTACCATGGAGATACCAACAAATTATTGGTTACCATGTTACAAACAAATTGCCGAGAATATATATAATAGTAAATAAGAAATTAATAAACAGTCGTCAGTCGTCAGTGGTAATTCATCCATTAAATTTTGTATCATGTAAACGTTAAAATAAATTATAAAATTTTTCTTTGTAGTACGGTGACTTTATTATTTATCGATCATCGTACCTACAGTTGTTATCTTGTCGAGTCACGTTCAATAGATGACAGCAGATAGCTTATTCTTGTCACATTTTTAGATATTTATTTGATATGTACATAGGCAAAGAGGATGATATTTGATGACAAGGATATACATAACGCGTGATAGATAAGGAGCGCAATAATCTGCAACAAGACAATAATAGTTCCATTGTTTTATTGTTACGTGTTTTAGGGTCTATGATTTGAATAAATTTTCATTTCTAAACAAAATTAATTAGAAGAAGAATTTATAAGCTCTTACAATTGTATCTTTTTAATTAAGTTTTAAACTATCTTCTTATATTTCATTTGATCTATAAAATGCATGTATAAAGGTTTGTAGATTTTATTTAATAAATCGAAGTATTCGTTCGAATGATATTTAATTTTTTACTATGTCTTAAACGATGTTTAAAAATGCTTATACTTTTATTATTGTAGCCATTCTATGAAATATTAATTCTTTTTTATGGGTTTCATTTTGTAATCACTATCGTATTATAATTGATTTCCACAATGAAATCCGAGCGTGAGATTATTTGAATCGTTTCATAAATTTTATTAAAAAATTGAGATCGATATTTAGTATAATTTAATCTTTCGAGTAAATTATGCCTAAAAATTAATGAAAATTTAAAATCAATTTTGATAAAATAATATTTCTTTTAATCTTCTAAAATTTTTCATTCCAAAATATTATTTTAATGTTGAAAAATATTTTATCCAAGAAATTTAAAAAATCATTATTCAATAACATTAAACTTTCATATAAAGGCCTAAGAAAATCATATTCGCTTAATAAATAATTTAAAAAATAAACATTTGCTTACAGCATGCCTCAATTTTAAATCGAAAGGGAAAAATTTAATTAATTTTTAAAATCGATATCAAACGTAGTATTCGCATAATATCAATATATAACGTGTACAAAAATTCAGTCGAAATTATTTACAAGAAAAATTTATGTAATATAAAAGTTCTGAGAATTGAAGCAATTTTGAAAATGACATACTGAATTACATATTTCAATTAACACACAACGAAACGAAAATCTGATTTCTCGTGCTGTAAAAAATTTCCATTTTGCTATCAATTATGCCTAATTATGTCTAAGATTCCCCATTCTTCGTCTCCCATCTCTACTAATTTATCTCATTCTAAGTGAGTCGAATGTGTTTGTTTCAGTCAAAGCTACAATGAAGCAACAAGCGATGTCGTTTATATGCATCGCGCAACAAGTCTTTCAATGTGAGTCATATTTAGAGTCATGAATTTCACTCTGCAAAAGGTCTGAATTATGCATTTCACGTGTCATATTTATTTTAAGATTCACCTGTGTCATTTGACACGTAAATTGAACGAAATGAAAGCAAATCATTTTAATTAACGCGCTGATTTTTAAGAATACTTTGAGCACTTTGATTGTTTGTATGCTCATTTGATCTCTATGCTTTCTTGATTGTGCTAGTGATGGGATCAAGTTCAGTCTGTACTCACAGAATCAAGTCAAATTTCATGAAAGAAGAATCCTTTCCTAAGATTCGGTTATTCACGAAGTACTCAGACTATACGTACTAATTCCTAATTCTGGAACATATAATTACCTTGCTAGGAGATTTAATTCATGTCAAATGTCAAAGTATTTGTAAATAATACTCGTCAAAACTGAAATAATATTTATAAGTTACTTTAATTTACATTTGAATGAATTGAATTTTTCGAAAAAATCGAATTTCGAAAGCTCGACTGTATTATGGACGTTTGTACATATATAGGAAATTTACATGAGATTACAATTGCACAGGACGTAAGCAATACAAAAAGGGAAATATAAGTACAAAATATGTAAAGTATAGTCTACAGTTTAATTTATGACCTTATTAAAGTTATAAATTAAGCAGAGAATCATTGGAAATAGATATCACATAATTAAATAAGATAAATAATTCTCTGCAGATAAAAATGAGCTTAAAAAAGTCATGGGATCAAGTATGTACTACATATGAATAATGTTTGAATCCTGGAAGAATGCAGATTTTATGCACTTATGGAAAATTGAGAATTGTAAAAATCTATAACTCAGTGCGTATAATATACAAAA